GCTGAGGGGAGGGGATGAGGATAAGGAACAGTGAGGAGTAGGAGGAGTAGGAGGAGTAGGAGGAGGAAGAGGAGGAGGAGGAGGAGGGGGAGGGGGCGGAGGAGGAAAAAGAGGAGGAGGAGGAGGCGGAGGAGGAGAAGAGGACGAGGAGAGGGGGGCCGTGACGGGGGCCGAGGGTGGGAGAGGAGACCTGGTTCAGCATCATGACCCAAGGCGCACCACCGTCGGCCACGGCGGTGGAATTTGCGAACAAGCAAAGGCAAAAGCGGCATGGGCAATCATTCGGTACCCTGCCCGCTTCGGTCGCCCCGCCACTCTCTAAGAAACCACATGCTCGCCACGTCGGTGCAGGGTACCCCCCAGTGGTAGTTTTGCCTCCGATCAAGCTTCGCTGGTCATATGCTCCACCTCGCAAAGCCACCCCTGCATACGGACCCATGTCGGACTCTTCTCCGCAGTATCAATAGTAACAGCCCTCACGGTATTATGGCTGCAAATGTTGAATGAATGTCGGCACACGTTCACTATCCGCACCCTTTTTAGGTTCGATATATATATATATATATATATATATATACATCGGGTTCGAGCTGTGTGCTTGAGAACCTCGCACGCGAACCTATAACGATCCACGAGAGCGAGGACGAACGTTTGGCGATACTGCGTGGTGTGTTCCCCCGCTGAGAAATCTAAACCCGCAGAGAACCCTCAGGAATCGCCTTGAACAAAGGCTGCATATAAAGGAACGAAACGACAGGAGCGGGATAAAGAGGAGGCATGAGGGATGAATAAGGATGACGACAACAGTGAATACGGCGACGTCTTCCAGAAGCCAACCAACAATTTGTTGGATAACATAAAGCATCACACAACATGAACGCATTGGTACATGATGCCAGCGAATGGACCCCGTCCAGTGGCTTAGTGCAACCTGTGGGCTGCCATCTCTGGAGTGCAGTCTACGAGGTGCAGTCTATGCGATGCAGTTAATTTCTGTTCGCAATGGGTCGTCCACTCCACTGCTCGCGCAAACATCCCACCCACCCACCCGCAACTTGGTTTGCAAAATCTCTAAAGACCGTGACGGTGGGTACCACATGGCACTTGGCAACAACGGCAACGCCGACGACGACAGCGACACCGACGATGACGACGCCGCCGACAACGACTACGACGACACCGACGACGTCTCCAACGACTTCGACGACGCCGACAACGACGACGACGACGACGACACCGACGACGACGACGACGACACCGACGCCGACGACGACGATGACAACGACGACGACGATGACGACGCCGACGATGACGATCACGACAACACCGACGACGATGACGTCAACGACGCCGACGCCGACGCCGACGCCGACGACGACGACGACGACCACGGCGGCGACGACGACGACGACGCCGACGTCGACGACGACGAAGACGACAACGACGCCGACGCCGACGACGACGACGAAGACGACGACGACGTCGCCAACGAAGACAACGAGGAAGGAGAGAGGACGACGACGGCGACAACGACGACAACGACGAGGGAGGAGGGAGGACGGCGACGACGCGAACGACGAAGAAGGAGGAAGGACGGCGACGCCGACGACGGCAACGACGAAGGAGGAGAGAAGACATGAGAAGACGACGACGACGACAACGACGACGACGACGGCGGCGACGAGATAGGAGGGACGACGACGAGACGGCGACGACGGACGACGACGGCGACGACGAGGGAGGAGGAAGAAGGACGACCACGGCGACAACGACGACGGAAACGGCCACGACGCCAAAGAGGACGACGACGACGAACAAAAGGAAAGACAGAGGACGACGTAGGCGACGACGACGACGACAACGACGCGGGAGGAGGGAGGACGGTGACGACGACGACGACGACGACGCAAGAGCGCGCGCGCACGCTTTTGTTGACAATCCATGTTGCGAAACCTTGTGTTTTTGTAGGATTGTTGGACACACGATTCTGAACTCCTTCCGAAACCGATGGGTTTTGAAGGTTTTCGGCATTCGCGCGCGACGACGCGCGCGTCTGCACTTCGTCCCGTTTTTTGCAAGGGATTCTCGCGACCGCACACGCGCAAGGGCGTTCGACTGATTTCGACATGACCGCGCGCGAAGCCCGTTTGGTAGCATTTTGTGAAAATCTTGAAAACACATGGTTTTCTTAAGTTTTCGCAAGAGCTTTCGCGGAAGCTGCTTTAGCAACTCACACCCTGTGTTTTTGTATGTTTTTTTCTTGAAAACTCGATTGCGAAATCTTTCCCGCACCGAACGTTTTTGAAGGATTTCGGCATGAGCGCGCGACGACGCGCGCGTGTGCACTTCGTCTCATTTTTTGCAAGACGTTCGTGAAAAAGTGCTATACTCGAGCAAAACATGTCACCGCATAGTGTTGTTTACAAGGGAACCTCAGGGGGGAAGCCGGCCTAGCTGGGATGGTCTGATTTCATATCTAGGATGGACGAGTGCGCAGACTATATATATATATATAGATGTGAAATCATACTCTCCCACGGGAAACCGATAAGTCCGGGGGGGGGGTAGAGTCTGACACATCCCATGCTCTTGCAGAGATTCCACCCACCCCACCCGCAACTTGGCGATGCATGCTTGGCGTTGGCTGGTGCATCTCTGCGGCCGCGCCAACCCAAGCACGCGCGCGCAGCGGCCAGCTACTTTGGCGCGATCGCCGCGGCCGCGGAGGCGCTGACCGCTGGGCACATCCCAGCGGGCACTTCACTGCGATTCGGCGACTTGGGCGGGCGCGGTATCATGACAACGTCGACAGCGGTAGACACGATGATGATAGTAGCGATGCTGGTGACGATGTTGACAACGACGAAGGCGCGGCCACTGCGGGTGCCGATGCTGATCACGCCGACGACGATCACGGCGTCCTCACGTCGGTGTGAAGGTTTTGAAAAGAATTCGGCATGCGCGCGCGGCCGACGCGCGAGAATGGCCCAGATGGTTTTATGCGACACGGACCGTGCCCCTCCCCAAGCACGCGCGCAAGGGCGTGCAAATTATGTCGGCATGCGGCGCCCGAATTCCATGAACATGTTGAACAACCGAAGGTTTTCCCAAGAACGCGTAAAAGCGCGAGCGCACGTTTATTTTGAAAAGTGATGTTGCGAAACCATGTGTTATGTCTGTTTTTTGGACACTCGGTTCTGACATCGCTACGAAACAGGGTTTGTGACGGATTTCGGCATGCGCGCGCGACGACGCGCGCGCGCACTTCGTTCCATTTGTTGCAAAAGATTCTCGCGACGGTACGCGCGCAAGGGCGTTCGAACGATTTCGACATGCGCGCGCGAATTCCGATCAGCAGAATTGTATGAAAATGTTGAAAACCTATGGTCTTCTTAAGAATTCGCAAGAACGCGCGCAAGCTTTTTTGAAAATCCGCGTTGCGAAACCATGTGTTTGTATGGGTGTTTTGGACCATCGATTTTGAAATCTTTACATACAACTTAAGGTTTTTGAAGGATTTCGGCATGCGCGCGCGACGACGCCCGCGTGCACTTCGTCCCATTGTTTTGCAAGGGGCTCTTGAAAACTGCTGATTTTTGATAAAAAGGGGTGCGCGCGCATACACATGTTTGCAGAGGATGACGGGGGGGGGGCCGATACCGGTTGGGCTGGGATGATAAGAGTTCATA